GAGAGAGAGAGAGACTACCGAGTTTGTGAATAATTATCACGTCTTCAAATTATCATAAGAGTTCAGAATCAGCCATATATTTACTGCTTCTGCGAAAGAAAGTTCAATTCTATCAAACAAAGAGCAATATCATAAAACTCATTCATTTCTATCAATTAGTAGATTAATTTTTATCTCGATTTAATTTTCCTTCTATCTTCTTCTAGATCTAAGGATTCATTGTAAATGAAATCGCGATGAAAATTAATAGATATGGACAAAAATTGATCGGGTACGTAAAAGTACGAAATCTATCATGTTCGAAGAATTGGTCAATATTACGAAATGGCGGATGTTAAATGATATCGGGACGGAAGACGGTCCTCAAAAATCCACCGAGAGAGAAAGAGGGGGGGGGACGGGGGGCGGGGGGATAACAACGTAGTCGCTGCCAGTGGGCATCGGGCGAGTCGTTGTTCGACGATACACCGACGATGCCCCGCTGTTAGGGTTGAGGTAGGTAGACTTCGCGCGAAGCGGATCGATATAGCACTCTCGCTTTCTCGCATTCCCGATGTACGATACGACGACGAGGCGCGCACGTGCCCGCGTGTCTGACGTGAGGATCGTCAACGACCGGGACCGGCTGGTAATAATTTCGCGGACACGCGCAAACGAGGAGAACGCCGGGTGGAGGGAAAGGAGCCGGGGCGATCCTATGTCGATCATCGTAGCTCCGTTTTTTTTTCTCCAAGATTCACGTGCATCTCGCGAAACATCGCACGAAGCCAGCCACACTTTTTCGAAATTCTTCCGCGGAATTTTTAATTTATATCGATCTATCCGTTCCGTTTCTGTTTACGTTTAATCAACGTGGATTAAATTTCTATTGCAGATTAAATTTCTAAATGGAGATTCTAGGTGAGGGTTTTTCTGTTTCTAATGCTTTTTAAATCATTTCTATAATGTAATTTTCCAATAAAATGTTATATTAGTTTTAATCTTGATTTAACTTTTATCTGCATTTAATTCCAAGAATTAGAAAAGATAAAAAATAAATTAATTCGACATTAAAATTGATGTCTAATGATAGAATTGAACATTAAAAAAATGAATAGGATTCCGCACGCACAAGTTTTCACTTTTAATTCTTCATAATCCAACTTGACATTCAGAGAAGATTAAAAAAA